TCGAAATAGAGTTGTAGAGAGGGCCAACATTTTAAACTTTTACAGTTTCCGAAATTTTATACGTTTTACTGAAAAACCAGCACAATTTTTATTTCGTTTAGTAGTTGTTTTCGAGCAAGTAATTCAAAGAAAATATACGCGCCATTTTTGAAAAAAATCTGAAACGTTCTTTGGGCCAATGTGAATAACTGGTCCCAAAATTAAATGATCCGTTTCAAAAATCGAGAGTCTGGCATCAGTCTGGCTGATCGCAGATTATCGCTTTTAGTAAAAATTCTGCGTACGGCATAAGACGCTAGTGTTGGTCTCAGACGGATGGTTTGGCAGATGATTTGAAGGATGTTTTGACCGACCATATGATTGATGGTCTGACGGACAGACGTTTCGAGAAAACATCGGCATAAGGGATGTACAAAATGAGTTGTTTTTTGTAAAAAGGTAGCCACTTTTTCTGCAACTTTACATAATCATCTTGATATGGAGCATTCGAGAAAGTTAAATTCTTGACTCGTTTTTCATTTTTTAATATTAATTAGATTGAGAGGAATTGCTTTTGACTCCTAATGATGACGCACTTCCGATAATTTGTATTCTTTTGATTTCTTCCTAAATGATTTTTTATTACATCTAAATGCCTATAATTTATTCGTTTATTATTGAAATCAACATTTTAATCCATAGTTAAATAATAAAAATAATTGACTTCTTAAAATACAATTTCACAGGTAATTGAACTTACGGATATTGTAATGGATCAATATATTTTAATCGTTTACAAATATCTCATTAAACTAATTGAAATCGTGCCCCGTTCTAGCATAAATGAAATATTTAAATATTTAATTTCTTCTTACTGGAATTTATTTACGTAGAGCGAATATATAATGTAATATATGGCAGTCGAGAGTAAAATGATTTCATTCAGTCGTAAATGACTTAACTTTCTGACTCGTGACGCATTCGTAGTACTTTGGGGCTTCTATCTGGCTATTTGTAAAGTTTTCAGGAGGCAAAATTAGAAGAACTTTTACAACTATTTTTGTTTTATAATGACACGATTACTAACGTTTACAACTGAACCTACGTAAGCTCAACGTGAAACCCACTCAAGGAATCGTGCAGAACAGCTCCGACGTCTATTCTTGAACTACTGCATTCCTTCCGTAACGGTCCGCGGCAATGACGCACGTGTAGCCGTCGTTGCGGCAGCGAGCGCTCAGTCCGTAGTTCGATGCCCGGCGTCGGTTGCCGCGTGGAGACGCGGGTTTATTCAACGGCGCGTCAGAAAAATCGGCGACCGGTTCGTGAAAGGTGTTGACACCCTTCCCGCTTCCCGGCCGGGCAGCGCGGCCGCGCGGCGTGCGCCGAGCAGGAAGGGAGAACCTACCCGGCCACCTCGTGAAAGGAAGAACCGACGCGCGGGCTCCTGGGCTGCAGGCCGGCCAGCAAGTTGCCCTTGCACCATCTCGGCTTTCCGGTCTGCACAGCGGCGAAAATTCGCAGTAGTATATCAGGAGAGAGATTAAACGCGGAAGTCTGTGATAACAGTGCCGACTTTTTATGTTTTGTGTTTCCCTCTGATACGAAACTCAAAGAGAATCTCGTAAAATAAAAAAAATGGAATTGTAAAAACTTTGAATTATCAGACTGTATTTGCAGAAAATAGATACATAATAACAAAATTTTACATCTATCAGCACTTCATAGTAACTTGCAAAACTGTCATTGCTGAATCCCTATGAAAACTAACTATTCTATGACAGAATATTCTGTGTTCTTCAAAAATTGTGTGTCTTTAGGTATGAATAATCCAACTACCCATATTTTGCCGCTTTTTTAATATACGCCAATAATACGTACAGGGGTAATTCATATGCATTGATATACCTTTCTTGGCCTTTGCATTTTCTCTTCATTGTTTTTTCTTTTACTTTTCATCAACTTGATCTCAAAACTATTAAGTGTTCTGACATCTCTGGTTACCACAATAATGTGGATTTATTGTGTTTTATAGAATCATTTCTTTCCTCCAGGAAACGCGTCTTCTCTGCTGCGTCTTTACGTTCAGTAACAGTTTGGCATGTTTTAGTAGTAAGAAAGTGTCACAGTTTTGGTCATATAAAACTGTTATTCATTTATAGTGTTCATTAATTAGAATTATTCATTTGTAATGTTCGAAAATTCAAAGTAAACAGCATCATTTTAACGTTGTGTAAAACGAGAGTTTCCAGTAAGGTAAGCGTATCGTTTAATTACTCCATTACTTGAATGATAATATAGAATGGACCACAGTGTACGGTAGACTAAATTGAGATTATAAATTCAGAAATTGTAATTCTGGAGCTGGGCAACCTGATGTATGCAGAGAGATGTTGTAAGTCTTACATTCTACTGATCACCGTTTATCAACTGCATTTTGGAGAAAGTTTCGGTCGCAAACAGTGTACAGGAGTTAAGAAGAGTACATTTGTATCTCAGTACATCATTTGTACAGCGAAATTTGTTATTTATGCATAATGTACTATATAGTTTTTTTTCAGATTATAAATGTTACAAAATCAGCTTCATTGTTATTTGCAAAAAACAAACAAAAATGAACATCAGTAAACTTCATTAATGCTTTGTAATTGAGTTCTAATATGAAGAAATACATATAATCTGTACGAATATTTTCTGTAAAGCTGGACTGAAGACTGTTTGAGACATAAAGACATCGTAACAACAGAACTATATAGGAACTTGCTAAAAACCTAGAATGCTAAAATACCATGAACATTTATATCAATTTCATTGCATGTGCTTCAAAATACTGTTTTGCAAGTGATTTTAGACAGAAGAACTTCATCTATATTTGTTAGAAAAGCACTTTTTAAAAATTGAAGATAGAATAGAATGAGGTCATCAACTTACGACACTTAACCATCACACAGCTCTGGAGACACACGCATCACAGTTCATCATGCAACCAGTTGTTTTGTTGCTTCGCTAAACAGGATCATGTAGAAGCATTTGAGTGGAAAGTTTGCCTTCCACTTTCATAACCTGATATCATTGTTATGATTTGGGAAGCTGTTGACGGAGTCGTGCCTATCTGCATCATTGACAAATTATTATGTAAACAAATACTCAAATGCTTCTTCAGACGAGAGAGAATTTAATTACATTGCGTAAGGATTTCCGCTACTAAAACTGTCTGAAAAGCGTGATCACATAAAGAATTATCACTTTACATGGAAAGAAAAACCGCGTGATGAAGTTACACTGTTTGATTTGATTTCATTTACTTTCGTCAAAAAGCATTAAACGAACTGTATGTGACGTATGGGGAAGAAGTATAATCTGCGCACGTATTCTTGAGCTCCAGAATGTTTGAAATAACACACGATGTTACCTTCTTACAATATGCAAGGTCGAAGACCTATTCATCTTCTTGCGGTTTGTCTTCGCTCATAATTATTTTTTATGTGAGGTTATTAACAATCTTTTAGCTTTTTATGTACTAATTATTTCCTGTATTATTGAACTTTTAACTAAAAAATGTATCAAACCCTATATATTCTAAGAATTGTAGTATCCGGCTATAAATCTTGTGAAAAGTAACTTTGTCGAGAGCAACTGCGCTCCGCGTAACACAATAAGTACAGTATCATTTTCCGCAATTGCGTTGAAAGCTCTCTGGCGAGACTGAACTTATTACTTTACTAGGCCCTATATAGATTTCGATTATAAAATTGCTTATTTATTTTTATATCTCCATTACTAGAATTGGAACCTCAAAAACACTTATTTACTAAATGAAAACGCTGAAGTTGATACCTCCGTTTAAGTGTACAAATCACGCTCCTAGATAAGTTTATTTATGCTGCGAATTCGTGCCAAAAGGGAGGAAAAATAAGAATAACGTTTCGGTGGCGATGTGATTCAATTACGGAAGATATTCCTTCTTCACGGTTGGCAAGATGTCAGGAACCGCCTTTCAAAACAATCGGTAATTAAAAAGTATGGTTCTTGAACTCAAAACATATGAAGGTATTGTATTAAATTAAATTTTATATAAAAAAGTATTAAGCAAAACAAATTATGTTCATGAATTAAAACTCACCATGAATCTATACAGATCAAAATCAAAATCTGACTATCAATGCTCCCAATAGAGTATCTATGACACGCAAATATCCAAAAATTATGACAAAGTAGAAATGATAATAACGTGGACTGGTATTTGAAGTTGCAGAACAGAAGTTGCAGAACAGAAGTTGCAACCGAAGACAGAAACCATTCGAAAAGAGCTAGTCAACAGCCCAGATTCTGGACTTGGCACATTAAGAAGAAGCGCGCGTGGGACAAGCCGTGATGACTGGTGCTTTTATGTTTGAGCTGCAGTAACCGACAGAAATTCTGGTAACCAATAAATTTGTAATTACATTAATAAAACATTTTACGGATAATGCTCGTTTATAACTCAGTTGTCTGCGCAACATTTTTTCAAAATAATTAGGCATATATCATATATTATGCAGACGCAGTATGAGAGTATCACGGAGAATACGGACGGTACAATGAAAATGGTTTATCACGCCCAACTTCTCATTTCATATTCTAGGCGAGTACTGGAAAGACGAGAAAGGTGTAAGATAATTGCTGGTAAAAATATTAACGAAATGATGGGCTTAGTGAAAATCAAAAGAGATCTCCAAGAGAAAATCCCCAAGAGCCCGTTTTCGAAAGAACGCAACCTTCTCCTAAACCCACAAGAAGGTTGTCTGTTCCTGTTTTTAGCAACGAGGAATATCTGGCCGCGAAATCCCGGGTGCGATGAGCGCGTGGCGGGAGGTGAGAGCACGTTTCCGCCCACGTGGTGGCCTCCGAGAGAACCACGTTGCCAGCCGCATCTCAATGGCCGGAGGTCCATAACGCGTTCGATCGCTCAGCGCAGCGGCGAGCGCCGGCGACCTAGGCACCTTGCGAGACAGACACATTGGCGGAGACAGCACCCCCACCTCAGACGCGGACAGCGGACGGCGGCGCGGGGGGCGGGGGCGGCGGCGCGGCGCCAGTGAGGTCCGGCGCCTGCACCTCCAACCGCAACGCCGTCCTCCACCTCCTCATCATCGTCCTCATCCTCGTCCTCGTCCTCCGCCCACCTCGCTCGGCACTCTCGCTCTCGCTCCTCCGTGACGGGCGGGAGAGGCTGCGGCCAAGTCAAGACGAGCTGCTGTGCGCAGTCGGGGCTCTCGGGTCGAGCCGTCGCCGTGCTAGAGTCGCACGCGGAGCGCGTGCCACGGTCTAAGTCTGTGACTCAGGGCCACCCACGGGCCTTTTTCGCCACATCCGGTCTTTTCGTGGTGCTCCACATCTTTCAGGTAAAGTGCTCGATCCGATCACACCCACGAGATTTTACGATCTTGCTTTTCCACGCTTGTGGAATTCTCCTCGAAAATTCATACTAACATGAATAATTTCAATAGTCATAGGCCGCATTTATTAATATATAAATTATTATATGAATAAGGGTTTAATGAAAAATAATTACTCATCAATGTTGCTGAACATCTAAAAGGCGCCTCGTGTACGAATTTAAACAACTTTCATCTAGTGCATGGGCCTGACGTTTTCACTTCTCCAGTAAAAACGCTTCGCGAGTGACATTTCAGATCGATAAAAAGTCATGATTTACTGCCTTATATCTTGATTTCTTTAAGTCTTACGTCAATGAATACATATTCTCTTGAGTAATACACACACACAAATATATATATATATATATATATATATATATATATATATTATATATATATATATATATATATATATATATAGGGTACGTTTCCTCTTAAAATTGAAAAATATCACAAGAAACTTGGTTTTTGATCTCTCAGAAAGAAACCTAAGGGATTTACGGAAGAACTTTTTGCACGTCTTATTGAGACGGTCATACAAAAACGACAGCTTGGAATTCGCGTACGAATCAATCTATAAGATTTAGGTTTTCAAAAGATGCTAGTAAGAGCAGCATGGCATTGTTTGAATGTACTTTTTCAGGAATCGAACATTTCTAATTGCAACTTCGGAATAGTTTGGGCATATAAACTTTCCTTGGACTGAATCGCCATTTTGTTTTTGGATAAGATTTTCAGAGCACGAGCTATAGAAGTTTCAATAGCCTGACGAACGTGGCCATGTTCTAGAGACTACGGATGGAAAGATTAGCGTGCAAAAAGTGCGTAAAGTCATGGTAACCAAAAGTTCTTACTTACTTTCGCCATCAAATCGATTTGAATTGACTAATTTTCTCAAATTTAGTCACACATCCATATCTGTGATATGTTATTTTTGAAGGAACAGAACCCAAGTTAGGAAATTCGTTATTATTATAAACAGTCCATGAAATATTGGAATTATTGTAATTTGCGAAAGACAGAAATATTGGCTTTTTAACTGAAAGCAGAAGGATTGTAATTTATTTTGTAAATCCAGACGTTCCATGACGATATTGTAACTTTTGAGGATAGGTGTGCTCGTCGTTTACAATCGCTGGGCCAGCAAGATGTTTGGTTGTCCGGAGTTATGATATAAGGTTAAATACAGAACTTACGATGTACATTTTTGGGGATGTACATTTTTGGGCGTGTGATTTGAACTCTTATACGAATTTGGTTGATTGATTTATAAGTGATTTATGGTGCGTGAACGTTTAAGTTCATTAGACCCGTAAGCGTAGTGCATGATTCTTCCTCGAAATATAGCGGTGATCTTCCCCCTTTGGATGGTGAGATCTGGCGCCGACCTTCCCGTCGGCTAGTGGGGTTTTCCCCAACCAGGTGTCTCCGGCCGACGGAACATCGTCCCAGCTGGGGCAAGCTCTGAACTCCGGACTGGTCTCCTGGCAGGTGTGGTAGTGCAATGCAATAAGTGTTTGTGTAAGTAAGGGGTGATGGTAGAACAAGGAATAAGAAGGAATGATCGCGCGCGGTACGTGGTATGTTTTTCTAGCTCCGGCACTCGCCTGATTGGAGATATTGATCGGAGGAAATTATCGGGAAATCTACCGATCAGAGCAGCCGGCTGCTAGAATTGTTCTCCAGAGAGTAACTAGATTCGACCTAGCTACCTACCGACGTGACGCGAACCCTAGGACCACCCGCGCGGGGGGCTCAGCCCTGACGTCAGTTGATGCCCTGGGCCACTTCTCACAGTTTTTACGCGTACGGGCTGATATAGTATTTCCTAAATAGGAGGATTAAGCCCAAACATTTTGTGAAGAGCGAATCCATTACTCCAACGTAAATCTGGGAAAGAGACTAAACATCTACATCGACACTTGCGTTCCTTATGTTCTCTATAGCTTTCGTTTATGTATGTTGAATTTGTGCGAAATATTTTGAAATTAATTTCGGTTTAGACCACTAATATCTTACTCAAGAAATTATTATTAAAGTTGTATTTACTTACTGAAATATCTCTGATCTTCTTTGTGGTTTGAAAAGCAGATACGACTAAACACGTACCATTAAGCCTAAATGTTTAAATTCAGAACTCAAATACATCTATTGGTAATTTTCTTCTACACTTTGTATTGTTTAAATTAAATTATGTAAATGCCTATCCTAAAAGCTCGAACATTTATGCGAGTGTGTTTACATAAGAGAGATCAGTAGTACCAAAAACGTTTTTGAGCATGAAACCTCCAAAAATACTTTTTTCAGGAGAACTGATCTAATTGAATCGATCGGGTTCGGGAGATCCACCGTGCACGATACAACCCTCTCATACTGGTTGCAAGAAATAAATTGCATGAAATGAAAGGAGAATTAATTCAGATAGCTGCCGTCTCGATTCTCTTTGCTTTATATGTACACGATATGGCTTTGAGCATTAAAAACAGCAGAAGAACAGTTCCCTTTGCTAATGACACAAACGGTCTTTGCGAATAAGAAACAATAAGAAATAAATTTCAGTTTATTGAAATTGGTTCCTCAATAACAAATTAATAGTAAACGCAGGAAGAACAATTTCAATTAAGTTTTACATTTTAAATAGGCAATCAATGCGCAATTGAAAATTAAAAGTACTGAATTTTCAGATGTTAAGCTAACCAAATTTCTGTGTGTCTCAATTCAGTCAAACCTCAAATGGAATATCCATATAAATGAATTGAACACTAAATTAAGGTCATTATGTTACGTATTCAGAATTCATTTAAATTCAGTATGCAAGTATCTCGCGAATATACATTCCCCCTCTCCCCCGAGATACGGCATAATACACTACGGGAGCACATTTCATAGTACCCAGGCTTTAAGATTGTTGAAAAATCGTAAGAATTGTAAGTATATGCCATTCGCGTGATTTTTTGCAAGCCTCTTTTCATTGAGCTTCGAATACTACAATTTTATTGCCTATTTGTTAACACAATGAAATATTAACATTATTGGAAATGTTAAAAGAAACCATGGTACGATTTTTTTTCAACACACTGGAAAATATATGTTCATTTAATAGTTAATCTGTAAGAAAATGGGTTCGTCACTGCTTTCGGGTTTAGAACTTCACAATTATACAATTTACAGTCAATGGAATCTTCTAAGTTTACAAATGAAAATGCCACATGTATGACATCATTAATGCATCACAGGAGTTTTAAGAATTTTATCCAAACCGCATGTATGTTAATTACAGCTCATTGCGTTTATTTCCAAATTTCTATAACGGTATCGTATATATACACTCTATTAGGTCTTCCTCAGCGTTTAAGTCGTGTTGAAACATTAGAAAGGTTTTTTACAAGTCAGAAAAACGTAGAGTCGTAGACTGAATAAAAGATTCACAGAAAACGTAGCAAAAATAAATATTTAGTTCGTTAATAAGCGCTAAAATGTAGTAGAATCTATATCGAAAATACATTAAAAATTCAAAAAATGTCACAAATTATAAATGCTATTTGGATTGGAGCGTTGTATGTGGAATTAAGTCGTATTAGTGCACTCTTACATAGTTACATTAGTCGTAAATGTGCACTCTTACATAGTATTTAGACAAGTAAAATGATATGTTTTTTGGATACACAAAAACTGAACTCAATATCTACGAGACTTGAAAAAACGAAATGGTGAACATAAATGTAACAATATTAAGCACTTTATTTAGGAATTATCGCACTGAACTCAACTTTATTTCAAATCATATTTGTATGAATAAGGAGGAAAACTCTCCATCAGCAATAGTGCCTCGAAGAAAATACGAGTTTAATACACTCACTGAAAAATGGCTTTCATTGAAATCTACAACTGGAGTTGTACATAAACGCAATTTTGTCCATGTACATTTATATGCTCCGTAATCCAGGAATCCGCGATATCTTGAATTCGTTTAACCTTTGTGACTTCAGGTATCAACGAATTCGGCTAGCGACGCCAGTTTCGCGGTCGTAGCCATTCAGTAGAACCGTCCCAGCATTTGCCTGGAAGACCGAGAGAAATACGGAAATCGCCGGTCAGGATGGCGGGCACGGGAATTGAACCTCAAACTCACAAATTCTAATTCAGGGCGCTACGCCCCCAACCACTTCGCTCGGTTACACTTGTTCTACGGTTATACAAATCGTACTTGTAACACTAATGCCCCTATATTTTTTACATACAGCCTTTTTGATATTATTAAAAATAAATGAAATATATGCCATTTTTCATTCTTCAGGAGGTAAATCTCCCGCTATATTTATTGCACATTTCAGTTTTGACATCTAAGGCACTTGACGGGGCTGATTTAATTAATTCTATTTGGATACTTCCAGATACCAAAGCTCTGCCATTTTAATTCTCAATAGAGGTTTATTGACTACTTCTGATTCAATTTGAGAACAATTTTCCTCGGTGTACGGAGTTTTATATGCAATTCCTGTGTATTCTGGTCCATTCTCAGTATTTCTTCACACTAGCTTACTAATTTCTTCAAGCCCATTTGGCCCTTCTTTCCCAGTGATTTTTACATTCATCCTGGTGGAAGTGCCAAATGTCCATGCTTCTCTGGATATCGTACTTTCTATCACTTTACTATCTTATTTACACCCCTTCCTCCCACGTTCATTTTTTATTCTCGTCACATTTTTGACATCTCTACCCATCTTCAATGTTGCAGTTGTAGGAGACACTCAAAACATTTCCATCTTTTGTAAATTCCGAAACTTCGAAGAGTTCAAAAAAAAAATTAGGCCCGATTTTTAAGCGTCCTGTACACTATTCAAGGAGAAAGATAAATACAAAATTTGAAGACATTTGCGAGAAAATTTTGAA